ACAATAGATCTGTTTGTTTATAGTTAAGCACAAAGCTACACAATGCTCTGCCCACCACGGGTATCGAAACCCGGATTCTAGCGTTGTAAGTCTGCAGACATACCTCTGTGCCACTGGGGGGCTACAATAGATCTTAATCGACATTAGAGAAGATTTCGTAATCATATCCTACTTAATTCAAGTAATAAATACCGCGTGTCTGAGGAAAATATTATTTTCCTCTTGAATCTGAGTCAGAACAATTAACCTCGTTTAACGTGTAGCTGGGTATTAAACGCAGCTTTGTTTGTGAATGTATCTGGAACTGGACACGCATAATATGTTTACAAATAGTTGGACCAATCCATTTGGCATTATACGGAATAATATAATGATCATCTTATTATGACGATACTTTATTTCTCAAATCCACAAAAGCTGAATAAGTTACTGTTTCATGCCTTTAGCGATACCACATTTTATCTTGATAATGAATACAGTTTTTCCTCCGAAATCATGAACTCAAATTTCTATTAAATAATGAAGTTGAAGCAATAGATTATATTTATATTCTTTATATTATTATTATTATTAGTTTCTTTTGTAGTAATTTTTCCCGCGCAAAAGTTTGGTTATACGCTGTTTTACTTGCTATAGCTTCAATGACCCATCCAATTTCTAAGTTTGAATTCATAATCATCAAACTTTTTTCTTCAAATTATTTTATTATTATATTGCGGAATACCTCTTTGTTTGTATTTATCTTCTTTTTTTTTCTCGTAAACAAAACCCCCTTTTTTTAAATATCTCGTGTGTTATTCTTTAACAATAATTATTCCAGTGTGTTGTATTTCTGCAAATATTTACATGTTCAGATACTAATCTATTGTTTTAAGATTTGTTACGCTGTTTCAGAGCATCTCACTTGTTTATGTATATAAGTCAGCAATCGGTATTCAAGTCTCACCATGTGCAGATGGCCGCTATGAGATCCACCCTGTCCATCCCAGCCTCCCTATCATGATGGATTTACTTCTCATATTTCTTCTGTTAAGTCTTCATCTTCACTTTCCTCTGTGTATACGACAGTTTTTGTACAAAGATTAAGGTCACTGTAAGTGACAATAGCACATCCAAATCCTGCCCCACAGACTCTATGAGAACTGTAAGTGACAATAGCACATCCCAATCCTGCCCCACAGACTCTACGAGAACGGTAAGTGACAATAGCACACCCACAGACTACGAGAACTGTAAGTGGCAATAGTACATACCCATCCTGCCCCACAGACTCTACGAGAACTGTAAGTGACAATAGCACATCCAAATCCTGCCCCACAGACTCTATGAGAACTGTAAGTGACAATAGCACATCCCAATCCTGCCCCACAGACTCTACGAGAACTGTAAGTGACAATAGCACATCCACATCCTGTCCCACAGACTCTACGAGAACTGTAAGTGGCAATAGTACATACCCATCCTGCCCCACAGACTCTAAGAGAACTGTAAGTGCAGCGGGTCATTTTCAGGTTTTCTTGTGGAATTACTTCATTACCAGATGGTAAATGTGTTGCTAAACGTGATATTTCGTCCTTGGACCAACCAAACATTGTTACATCGAGCGGAAACATCTCTGATGGCTTGCTTTCAGATGCATGCTTGATAGTGTGCTCGATTAACGTTCTCATCAAAACTGTCTGCAATACCTTATACAAATCCTAGTGAAGAATCAGCATTTAGGCCCAGATAATTCTTCCTATCTGTAACAGATACTGAAGAGCCTTTAAACCTTATAATTTCTTTGTAAGAACAGCTTTTCCTAACATCACAAAGACGTTAAATGGCCCTCTTTTTTTTTTTTCTTACAAGTACACCTAGAACTATTTGTAAGGCAGTGTATCTGTAATTACAACCATGATGCACGGTAATGATGTCGTAGGAAACTTTTCACCTAATCTTGCTGACAATAGACTAAACAGTGTTGGGCTATTCTCACTTCCTGCGCTGTTTCTAAGCCCTTTGTTTCTTTCTTGATTCTACTTGCAACAATTTTCATAGTTAGCTTCTTGCAACTTCAGTAACTTTACTTCAGTTTTACGAAACATGATTAAATTAGAATAGTATTTGCAAGATAAAATCAGTAATTGCCATGTAATTTATTTCTCAAGTTTGTCAGTAATGATGTTCGGTTATGCACAGTCTCACTGAATTCTGTATAAGTTCCCTCCAATTAAATGGACGATCAAGTATTTCCTGTTCTGCCCCACAATGCTGACGAAGAAGATATTTGCAACTGTTTTGCTGAATGAACTTGGTCTCATGAGATTAGCTGCGTAATCTCAATGGTAACGAGCATCAGATGCATGCAGTTCGGATACAGTGCCTTCTACATATAACTCCACTTGTTAAGCTCATTCGTCGTTACGAATCCTTGAAAGTATTTGTACTAGAACGATCCGTTCAATCACTTGTGAGGCATTTAGAAGAAGGTCGCCATCTCTTTGGGTTCTCTGTGTCTCTGCTACGGTGTTGCTTTATGGGTTGTGCATCGCCAGACTCACCTGGGGACTTGGATAGCTATTTATTCTTCAAACTTTCCACGTTTGAACAGAGATTCCATGCTTATTCTCTTGCATTTGTCTCTTGCTCGATTTAATAATTCCACGAATCCAAGCTTAACATGAAGTAATAAGAGGATCTCTGGTGATATTACACTAACAAATACATGGTTCATTTCTAGCTATACTCACTATTTTAAATTCTACTTTTGGCAATGCACATTTAGTCCTCGTCAATCAGTATAAGCGATGCATACACTGAAATGATTACATACATGAGATTTTCTTTCTTCTTCTTCTTTGAAGTTCAAAACTCATTTCCTTTCCTGCCCTGTCAAGTACGATATCACCCCTGTGAACAAACTTTCAGTAATTCCTACGCTGCTGAAGAAATTAACGTCTATAATGGACACAAAAAACAACTGGCGCTGAGTATATAAATTTCTAAGATCTTGACAGAAACATGATATTTGGGAAAATATTCACATAAATACAGGTTCGTAAAGAATGAAGTACTGCGTGTGTATAAGCTTCTTTTGATATCACACAAAACCCTTCTCATGGTGCAGTGTTTGTAGAATGTCATAAAACATATTTCAAATGGTCCGAAAAATTGATGACGTCATATTTCAAACCCTTAAAGGTATCGACGTGTTACCCATCGGAATCGGATTCCTCACTCTATTTTTTTCATATACAATCCATCGAGCAACATCTTATGTGCTCAAATGGTTGATTATGTTAAAACATTGCAGTTTGGCACTGGAATAGTGTTTAGTCTACTATTAATGACATGTAAATTCAAACTTAATATTAATAAGCAAAATGATCAGTAAAATATTCCCCTTCAGCCGTGGGAGCATTATAATGCGATGGTCAATCCCATTATTCGTTGGTAAAAGAGTAGCCCAAGAGTTGGCGGTGGGTGGCGATGACTAGCTGCCTTCCCTCTAGTCTTTCACTGCTAAATTAGGAACAGCTAGCGCAGATAGCCCTCGTGCAGCTTTGCGCGAAATTCAAACCAAACCAGTAAAATAACTGTGTGTAAGTTAACAACGATAAAGAGCAAACATTACAAGTAACCCTTTACCATGAAAACCTACACCCAACACTTTCACTCTGTGAAAATCTGCAGCTCCCTAAACGCATCTACTTTAAGGCACTGACTAACTGATGCTAATCTGCTGGACACTACAACTCCAAGATCCATGATATGTCTTTTCAATAACAAAATAGGAATATTCAAATCCTTACGGGTCCTGATAGGTATGACATTACCTTAAGTCAACTTTTTCATATCGAATTACTGTAATAGCCATGCCAATTACAAGTACACCTTACTGTAATGTATTTTTATCTTGGATTTTGAGATGTAGTCATGTTGTATAGCGTGAGAAGTGAATAAAATGTAGTAGAAGTTTAAGATACCTAAGCTTAGTGTCTGAATTTATGATTAGCTTAAAGGTTCTAAATCGACCAAACTTCCTAAGATGTTATTGAAATTACGACCAAAAACCATTAACAGCAAGGATACCCAACCAACGATTCAATGCGATCTAACCATTACATGTTTTTATTGTATTTTGTCCCAGCCAACACATTTTAAGACTCACTTAACAATAAGGATGTCGTAGGTCCATATTAGAGTGTACATTCCCCTGATGACAGTCTGGATTATCGTTATCCCGCGTGATCATGTATTACTATCTCCCGACGGCTATAGGAGCATTATAGACCTTAACATGAAACACATATCTGCCTTAGATCATGGCACTTTCAGTGATATATTTTATCGTACAGCTTGTTTTACTCTTTCTATATATATATAATAAACATCATGGTCACTGAGCGTCTGGAACTTAGTTTAATGTTCGAAAAGAAAGTTGCAATAAACGCAAGACATCACATAAAATTTGACATAAAAGTTAATGTCGATTTCTGCTTTAAAATCGAAATTCAATGACCAAGAATGACATAAAAGTTGTCGATCATTGAAGAGAAGTTCCCAACCATTTACCTAACTAAAGTAACCACACAACATTGTCCTAAATAGCCAAAGTAACCACAGAAACGTCACCTGCCCTCAATACCTAAAGTAACCATAGAAACGTCATCGGGCCCTAAATATCTAAAGTAACCACAGAAACGTCATCTGCCCTAAATATCTAAAGTAACCACAGAAACGTCATCTGCCTTAAAATGACTAAAATAATCAACCGGATCCTGTGTATAAACTTTCACTTTCGCTAGTAATTTACGGTTTATAAGTGTTGTAAAGTATCGAGTTTCAGATCATGTATATAGTTGTTAGTTGAAAATAATCATTACACGGCATTTTATCGAGCATTTAGAATTTTCAGAATTTTAGTCTCAATCAAAATATTATAATAATAATTACATTCTAAACTGACTATAAAAGTATTATTTTAATTACTGATTTATTTTTCATGTATACTTTAGCATTTGCAAGCAAGTTTTGTACAAGCGACGGCAGCTGGTGGCTTAACGAAGAATTCAACCAAACCTGGACTAACTACTCTCTCTGTATTCTTGAAAAGCCAGTAGATTTGACGATCACTACGTATAATGGGGGATTCTATGTGGTAATAACTCTTATAATACACTTGTTTTCTCTAGGTAAATCAGTAAGATTACTTATAAACTGTTTGGGGTAAACGTGAACTATTATATATAGCTAAAATATAGTGAAATTTAATTTTTTGTCTTCCATACACTGTGTTGAATTTTGAGACGTACCAGTTGTCATATTCTATGTACGTTGATATAGGTAATTTAATAAACTATGTATATTTTCTTAAAGTGAAAAGTAGTTGAAATAAACATGTTGTTAAATTTTAAGACATCTAGGCTTAGTGTCTGAATTTATGAATAGTTTAATACGACCGAAAGTCACGAGAAATTTAATCATTGTTTTTATTATGTATTGATTTAGTATTTTTATTAAGCTTGCCCATACTAAATTATCTTCGCTATTGTAGATATTATTTGGACTTATTTTAGTTAGATTATTCTTGATTAGAAATTAAATGGAAAACTCTGGAAATGGATTTAGCAACTTTAATCTTAGATAAAACACATGAAGGGTCAATGCACTCGTGAGGTTCCTACTACACCCAAATATGACCCCTCTGCACAGTTCTTCAGTTGTCCAGGAGTCTGTGTCAGATGTTCCTAGCGCATTCATTCAGATAAAGGTATTTAACATGGAAATAAAGGGCTTTCTAGACTATTTTTCTGAGATTTTAATTTTGGATACCGACTTGCTCTGACGGACGTTAAGATTTCCCATGGTTTCTAGCTGTGAGACAATATTCCCCATTTTCATTTTACTTTGCCTTTTGTTACACACTTCTCTATTGGTCTTGCTAATAATATTTGCCATCTAAAAATTTTTAAAATTCAATATTCCGGTGGAATGTTTTCAGCTCTCAGGAGCTCATTTATATGTTAATGTAACATGGCTTGTAAGTATGTGCTATGTAGATGTAGTACGACCCACATTTTGCCACATGTGGATGTGCTTCACTGTATTTTCCTATATGGCGTACAAAAAAAGTAGAAAAATGTACAGAACGTAAAATATGCACACTGTTTATCAAACTTCATTGATTTGAGGTCTTTATTTTGAGACTTAATTAATAAGTAAATAAAGGTACACAATTTTTCAATGGTTTTTACCGCAGTTTTGCGTTCAATAGATAAAAAAATAGCTAAATCTTTATTACTAACAGTTGATTATCATCCTGAACACACAAGGAGAAATAACTTTCACCCATTCACAATTCATACAAGAGTATCAAAAGTGTCATTATCAGAGTCGAAATCGATTAAATCATATTTTGCATTTACATGAAAATCTTCATTTAACCAACAGTGAAATACTTCGGTACATGTAGGTTATATTAGCATTGCGGGTGCATTTTTGATAAAGTGAACAATGACATCAGGTGTAAGAGAAAGATTAGAAGCATTGGAATTGGCACAATAATGTCTCCTTTCTATTTCCAGGACTGGCTGTGTTGATGGCAGTTTTGAAGCAGTAGTCTAATCCCACTGAACAATTCTCATTAGCTGTATTTGACATTCTATTTGTGTAATTTTCTCTTAGAGCAAACACAAATTTCTCTATATTGATATAAAGTTTCATTGATGTCATTTTGTCTTCATTCAACCCCAAACATTAGTGATTCAATTTTCAGGTGATTTCTGGTGTTTACTTTTACCAGTTATTTGTCCAGTTTGATCCAATCCTGTAAAATTATAGAATCGTTGAAGGTCGCCATGTTTTCTCCTATTTCATCATATATTAGCTATTTTCAAGAGCCTATTTGAATGCAAAGTATATCTCTGCAAGACCAGAGATACACCAGTATCAGGAAACTATATAAAATTTTGTAACATCATGTTTGGAAACATCAATAGCATGAAGTATTAAACTGTGTGAGCTTCATTACTGCTATTGAAATAACTAACATGAAGTTTACTGTCCATGAAAACTCTGGCGACATAACAAACCCTTCGGCATTTAGCCGAGAAAATGAAATATATATTTTCAAAAGTTATCTCAAATTGCTCATTTTGTTCCAATTTCTAAAAATTATTCAGTTTTTTATATTAATCGAATTTTGGTGGAAGTTTTGGGGCTTCAATAAAACTTTTCGTATGAAAATTTTCAACTTGAACGCTACTTACTTGCACGTACGCTGAACAGTCTTGTCAGAGGTTCTCTATGGCTCAGATATAGTTGTTACTAATTTTGAACTGCTGACGAAAAAAGATGACAACAACTCAAGAGCATCTGCCACTAAAAGGGCTTTGTGTAGTCTTTCAACCAAATTATAGATTTACTGTCATTTTTATAACGCTCCACAGCTGAAAATACGGACTGTGTTCATTGGCATCACATCTAAAACTTCTGACCCTTGACCTGCAACCCGACACGTTAACTATTAGGCCACGCCTCGCTGTGGAAAAAAACTATAATTTTATAAAGTCGTGTTTTTAAGCTTCGAATGAAAATTTGGAATCAGAAACACTGTTTCTCATAGAATTACAAAGAGTAAGAAATTTTTACTGAATCCTGAATGAACGAGACCGATAAATAAGCCAGCTTAAAACGTTTAGCCAGTCAGATCAAAGTTTTATCTTATATGTACAATAGTCTCGAAGCTCTGCTCTGAAATTAAAATTTGTCTTTGGAATTTAATCTTCTTCCCAGAAACCATAAAATGTTCATACACTGAGCATTCTTACTTTTTATTTGACAGTGATTTTTCTCACTACATAAATTATATAGCATAATATACTCAAACCTGTGAATTATATTTAAATGCCTCCCTCGATGATTCAGCGTTAAATTTTGGGGCTTATAATGCTATAATTCTGGGATTTATCCCTACAATTGACATAACATAGATATGGCATTATACAACTTTGCGCTTAGGAACAAACAAACGAAACAAAACATTTTAAATATACCACTAATTAGTTTTATCGTAAACTAACTCAAATAACATATTTCTAGAAAAATAATTAACCGCAAAATTGCACAAAATAAACGTAGGAAGGGCTTCATGCTCGTAACCATTTCGAACTTCATAAGGTTGAGATAAACAATTGTGTCAACTACAACTTATATTGGGATTTAACATATATATATATATAATTGTATATATTTTGGTGTTTTTAATTTATTACGAAACCAAAGTTCTTACTTATCTGTTGCCATGCGTTATTCTATATACGTCGATGATCACTCTTACCAGCCACTCATAACATGTGACTATCAGATGTCCGACAAGGATTTTACGTGGTTGATTTCTGCATAGCAGATGTTGCCACTGCAGAAAATACGGAAGATATTAAGTTCTTAAAATACTTTATTCTCTTGCCAACTCGTACAGTTTAAAATGAAACTGGTAAGGGGTGGAATTCACAGAAGCCTCTTTGACTCAATTACTTGTGGAAAATTAAATTCCAGAGTTTTGCTAACGAAGACTAAAACAAAAATGTATTAGTACTTTAAAAACAAAATTGGATGTAATTTGCTGTAAACCAGCATCTCTGATAAATAACATTTTACAAGTTCCAAATGTGTATGCTAATGAATTAGCCAGCGTTTCTTTTCTCATAGTAACGTATACTTTCAAAACTTTAGAATTAATAAATCTGAGTAGTTTATCATACTATGGTTATAAAGCTGCGTATACTTATATAATAAATAAAATGACGAATATGTATAGATCATGTATGACTCAGTTAAAGTATCACCAAAAGCACTGTTTACCGCTTCAGCTTATAAATGATCATTAATTTTTTTCTTTATGCCACAACTTAAGGTCGATATATATATAAAATATCAAACATGACAGGCTCACTTTACACAAGTATACTTCCTCACAACTGTTTAATTAACACCATTAACCTGATAATTACGTTTAGTGAATACAGTAAGGTAAACCTGTGTAACCGCTAACACATCTTACCATTCCATAAGCAACAATAATCCTGTTAACGAGTACTTTCCCACTTTTTCAAATATTTCCAATTGGATACAACACAATGAAGTGTGAAATGTTCACATGAAATAAACTTGAAGCTTATCTTACAATAAACAATATTTATATTACTAAAGCATGAGTGGTGTAATAAAAAATTGTAACATCCGCCCATCGGTCTTTCTGTTTAGGTAGTATTAAATTAATAGTTTATTGTTTTTACAATATGAACGAATTTTAAGACTAGAAAATTATTACTTGTACAGTTATTTTAAAACTAGTAGTTTTCTTTATTGGTTCTTCAGTTTAAGTTAATGGAAGAACTAACTTTGTCAAAATGATTTGATTTCTGAATCGAGTACGTTTATTGTGTTGTACTCTTTATAATTAGATTAAAGCTTGAATATTTGTTCACTTCGTTCTATGGTAAGCTTATTGTATTATATGTTTTGTATTTAAAATAAAGTTTCAAAATGTGTTCACCATGTTCTGCCTATTATAAGTATTATTTTGCGTTTCCAAATCTTACTCTGACATAGGGAATTGTCAATTGATCTACGACTTTCGATCTGTAATTGGATATTACTTTATATCAATTTACTTTCAGAATACCATAGGGATGTTTACTGTAAATACTGCTGCCGCGTGGCTTAGTTGACCTCGTTACAAAGCACTTGAGTCAGTTTCAAGTAGTCATTTCGTTATTTCTACAAGATAATGAGGTAAATCGCATGATCCATTAAAGAAACTTCCGATGGGCCACTGTGACAGTATCTACATAATCTTTATATTATGTCTTTAAATCGTAAGATAAAGTATAATTTTCTTAGCTCTAAAGTTTGAAGCACTGTAGTTTGATGCTCAACTCTTCATCATATGAAACCATATTTTTTTATAATTAGTTTAGTATTATTATGGCAACTTTCAAGTTTAGTTTTCATTGTTTCGCGTACGATCACTGTTTACTGATTTCAAAAGCAATTTTTTTTATAAGACCAAAGGATTCATCTTAAAAACAAAAAAGAATATAATTTCGTCAAAAGCTTTCAATAGGTTAGAAGTTCTATACTTGTTCGTTGCTTTTTAAATATAAAGGCATTTTAAGACAAGTGTAGTATTGCGTGTATGGCTAATCTGAAACCACAGCGGTTTAGGCTTTATCTTTGCTGTTCCTACCAGTTATATCTATGTTGTTCCCACCACTTATATATATATGTTGTTCCCACCAGTTTATCTGTGTTGTTCCTATCAGTTATATCTATGTTGCTCCCACCAGCTTATCTGTGTTGTTCCTATGAGTTTATCTGTGTTATTCCCACAAGTTATATATATGTTATTCTCACCAGTTTATCTGTGTTGTTCCTATCAGTTATATCTATGTTGCTCCCACCATCTTATCTGTGTTATTCCTACCAGCTTATTTGTGTTACTTTTACTAGCTTATCTATGTTGTTCCTATCAGTTTATCTGTGTTATTCTTACTAGTTTATCTCTGTTGTTCCTACCAGTTATGTCTTTGTTGTTCCTACCAGTTATATCTATGTTGCTCCCACCAACTTATCTGTGTTGTTCCTACCAGTTTATCTGCGTTACTTTTACTAGCTTATCTGCGTTGTTCCTACCAGCTTATCTATGTTGTTCCTATCAATTTATCTGTGTTATTCTTACCAGTTTATCTCTGTTGTTCCTGTCCTGCGACTTTATTTGTGTTGTTCCTTTCCTACCACTTTATCTGTGTTCCTACTAGTTTAACTGTGTTGTTCCTACCAGTTTACCTATGTTATTTCAATGAATTTTTCACAACATTTCGACTTGTTTCTAAATATAAAACCTTGCATATGACCGTTTGTTATAAGCTCTAGGAAAAATTTATGTTTTAGGAATAAAAGGATATTCTTATTTAATACACATTGTATTAGAAATATCTTATCCTCGTATTAAACTTGTTTATTTTCAATTAAGTAAAAAAGAAGGAACCGCTGTTCTGATATCTTGTTAAGCCTTATGATCTGCTAACACAACTTTAACCACGGTTTTTTGTATTGTTTAATAGATCCAAACGTATAGAGATAACATGAAATTAATATAATTTATTTTACTAACTAATAAATTCATCCTGGGAAATCTGCTCTTTCGCTGACGACAGATTAGTAGTTTATTTAGTGTATTTTCCTCTATATATGTGTTTGGGTTCGTCCGTTGTTTACCAGTTAATCCATGCTATCGTAAGACCACTTGAATGATAAAAATATTTTCGTTTTTATTTCTAGCTTTGGCTGTATTGTAAATCATGTTGGATAATGATGGATTAGAAGCATTAAATAAACCCCAAAACAAACAATATGATGTCTGTAACTTTTTTAGTTGGGTTGATGTTTCAGATCAAGACCTTCGTCCAGTTTTATCTGTCTTTCACACAACATTGGGGGCGTGTGTTTCATAGTAGTTATGTTCCTCTACTTACACATTGGGAAACGTTGATCACACAACCCTACAAGGTTTACATGTTAATAAGGGTCTTAGAACATCTTTGCACAGCTATAAATCTCTTGTAAACTGATGGGGCAAAAAAAGAGTTTACTATTTTTATAAACATTACAGAAATAATTATCAAAATATACGCGTACAATTGTAAAGTTCTTGTAACATACTGAAGCAAAAATAGTCTGACATGTTGTTAAACATATTTAAGTATCTGAGAACATCCTGGTACAAACGTAAAACTAAATTTACTATTTTTAGTAGATACTTTCTGGTTACGTCATGATGTCGGTTAGATGCAACCGCAGAAATTATTTTTATTCATCGTAGTTGGAAAATAATAATATAAAAAACTGCTGCTATTTAGTTTGAATTAAAGTAAACTATTTAACTTAACTTACCAGTTTATCTATGTTAGTTCCACAAGTTATATATGTGTTGCTTCTGTCAGTATATTTGTGTTGTTCCCACCAGTTTATCTGTGTTATTCCCAAAACTTATATGTGTGTTGTTACTACCATATTATCTGTCTTATTTTTACCAGTTTATCTGTGTTGTTCCCAAAACTTATATGTGTGTTGTTACTACCATATTATCTGTCTTATTTTTACCAGTTTATCTATGTTATTTCTACCAGTTGTATATGTGTTTTTTCTACCAGTTTATCTGTACTATTCCCACAGTTTATATCTAATCAAAAACACCTTAAGTGTTAAAAATGGTTCGGCCAAGAAAGGATTGAGCGTGCGATTTAAAGGAATGAAATCAAAATTGGCGGGCGGACTTATAGCACTGATAAGACTTTTACAACAAATATTCAGTCATTAGTTAACTAGGCTGCGTTTTTTGTTCAGCTTGGAGCATGATGGTGGCTAAACACGCAGTTTGTCCTGTAGGTTGTTTTGGCCGCACGACACACTGCCATGTGTCTTGATATGTAGTGTTAATACCACTTTATTTGTATTATTTCAACGAATTTTTTTCACGATGTTTTGACTTTTCTTGAATATCAAATCTCACATGTGATCGTTACTTACAAGATCTAGGAATAAGTTATGTTCTAGGAATACAGATGCTATTTTTATGTACAAATCAACTTCTGATAAAGCTTTAATTATTTTTTAAATGTTCACAAAAATGAAATACGAAGCAAAGGTTGGAACATCACAATAGTTCTGTGTGAGTTACCAGATAACGTGAAGTTTTTTTCTCGGTCGCTTATACAAATGAACGATTACATGTAGCTTGATTTCTTTTGTCTTTTCCTAGCCACATTTAACCACCATCAAATGGATATCCAAAATCGGTTATTCAGTGTCATTCTCCACGTTGATCGTCGCCCTTCTTATATTGGTGTTTCTGAGGTGAGTCGAAATTTAGTGCTCAACCATATGTCAGATCAGGGATTCTCAAACTTTCTTAGCACAACCCCCCTTCCCAAAACACACACACAATATGTCGCATCCTGATTAAAGCTCCCCCACCTAATGAACTTATAGATACTGAGCACCTTAACATTATCGTTCATTTTGTTTATTTGCTAAGGCTTCCCTGACACTTCTGCAGTCTTCAGTTTGGGAATCCACGTGTATATATGTGTGTACTGCATATTTTGTGCTTTAACTACGTTAGGTAAAAGTTTGCGCCTAGCTGATTTTAAAGCATTTAACTTGTGGTATCACTTTGCTTAGTATATGTGGTGAAACATTTTATAACAGCTATTGAAGGAGTTAGTACAGTATTCATACACCATGCTGCCACTAATACATCGAAACGCTTCATTCTGCAAATATTCAAATAAAATAAGGTGTAATACGTTTATCATACAGAACATTTCTCTATATTTTCATGATAAAGATAATTCTCGTTTCATTCTAGGAAATGTCAATATCATAAATGCAACAAGAAAAAGAAAATCTCCTTGTTAAATAATACATGAAAAAAAATTACCAGTGAAACCAGTTGTATATGCTTGCGTTTCACTGGTTACTATTTGTTGTGCTACTTACTTTAATATATAGTATTAAACTTCTAAATGGACGTTTTCACGAATATTTAATGGAATTTGAAACTTAAGTTATTTCAGGCTACATGAACATTCATGAAAGTGCATCCAAAATAAGTTTTCCTCCACTTCATCGAAGCGACTTTCCTCTAAACGTTTCTATCCTGATGATGTCCATACGTTAATCGTGCCTTTTACTCCGTGTCTGATGTCTCTCGCTCTATTAAAGCTTTAAATTACTGGAATATGGGCTAACAGATAAGTTAATCAAATGTATTTACGGAGGACTGCTAGCATTTTATGTTAGCACTTTTTAAACACTTTCCCAAATCGATAATTAATAAATATAGTGCTTATCTTTCACTTTTGATATAAATTCATATAACATAAATCTTACTTTCTGAAATTATCAACTCATCGTATAGCTAATTGTATTACCAAAAATGTACACATAGTGAGAAGGCTACACTTCTGCTCTTTTCAGTGTAGAATACTTAGTAAAGTTTCAGAAACTTCTTCTTACATTTCATGTCAAGATACTCACAAACCCAGAGCGATAAGAGACTTTTAAAGGAGGTATCGCGAATATTGTGAAAGTTTTTCCAAGTAGCTGGTTTCTGTTTGAGGAGAAAATTGAATATGAAGAGAATGCCATCAAAGGTAAAACTCAACTTGAAATTCCAGCACGAACATGTTTTGAAGTATACTTTTAAAAAGAACCGTGGTCGTTATGGAAACACCTCAGTTAGTTTAAATCCTATACACGTTAAGACCTCTACCTACATTTTAAAATTTTCCTAAAACTAATGCGGGAAATAATGATAATAATATTCAGGTCATTTAATATGGGGACATTCCAGTCATGTCTCTTGGTCTAAGTTTGATAGGCCTATCTGCTTCTGGTCTGCACAGTTAACAATGAGAAGTTAACGAACCACCATTGTGGAGGTGCTTTATAAAATATGATCTACAGAAAAGCCTAGTAGAAGGGAAACTTCGAGATGTTTCACTAAATCGTTAAGTGTCACAATCATCAGATAGAATACTTTATATGGTGGATAGAATAAAGCTAATCATATATTAAAAAATTCCATAATGTGCTAACAATCCTATGTACACGTGGAACTAGTAGTTTTACATTTCAACTGTTCGTGACGCGTTTTCCTTACATCAGCGCACTTGTCAGGCTCAGAAGTGCTTACAGCATATGGAAGTGATACAAAAACTTGACACATATTGTTGATAAAGAAACTATGTGTTTAATTATGAAAGCAATAGTTTGACAATACCTATTTAACAGAGTAAACTAAAACTTCCCGGTGTTAGCTAGTTCGAGCACCAAAGATTCCACACCTTCAAAAAAGCGAAAGCTATTTAAACATTGGTATTTTTAGTCTAAATGGGACCTCCTAGGATATTTGAGCTAAATTTTCAGATCAAATACTCAGAGAGGGATACCAAACAACAGCATATGTAGACCACGCAGCTACTCTTAGCAAGTAGCAAGGGTGACTGTCACATCTGTATTACTCTTACAACTGAAAGTACGAATCTTTTTCAGCAGCATATCGTATTTCAAACCTTGACCTCAGCCCAGCACGTTCATCACTATTTCACGTCTGATTTGCCACATACACAACACGAAGAGTGTCAGTGACTATCATGCTACTTTATTTGTTGTCGTGATATGGTTAAAAAAACTAAATGGCGCTGTAAATTGTTTCTTGCTATTATATTTCTCGTTTGCTGTTCTCCAATCAAATCAAATAACTTATTGTTTGTAGTTCATCTTATATTTTATATTTTCATATTCTAAATGTATATATCAACTTGGCTTTTTATTTTTATATAGTATTTGTTTATTTGCTTGTAGTTAAGCACAAAACTATACAATGGGCTATCTATGCTTTGCCCACCACGGGTATCGAAGCCCGATTCCTAGCGGCATAAGTCCACAGACATACCTTTGTGCCACAGGGGGGTTTTAGATAGTAATATAGGAAATTTCAGTATATTTCACTTTCTGACTTTTTATAAACATTTACAATTCTTAACTTAATAATTTTTTAATGAACTAATATTTTTTGTAACAAAAATAAAAAATTGTTTTGTTTATCCCTAAAATTTAAAATTTCATTGTTTGAATTCTACCAAAAAATGTCTCTTCACGTTTAGACTGACTCTACCCCAGATTTTTTTTTTGTACAGTTCATATGATTCGCCATTTTCTTTGAGTAAAATATACGGTTGTACAGAAGTTGAGTACATTTTATTAAAACAATTTTTGAGCCTCACCATGTCCGGTCATGCTCTGTCTGACAAATGTGCATTAGTACAGTATGCCTGCAGCGTAGTTTCTATTGCAAAAGGCTCTGTCGTAAAGCTATCGTGTCTAAAGAACACTCCTTCTCTCTGCCCTTTTTCATAATCTATCTAGAGTAAGAAGAAAACAGTTTTCCTCCAGCGTCCATTTCAACTGTCTGATCGCATAGATATCCGTAGGTGCTACACCGATGGTTATGACCAGTACGTCTCCGTACGGAATTGCATTAACATCCATTTCAATCTTCAGTTGCTTGAGGTATACGACGGTTGAATGACTATGTCGTGGACGTAACTTGTGTACACATGACTTGCTTTTCCAGACTGAGATTCTTCTTTGTTATATTGCGTACTGTTGCCTGGAGCACGTGGACCGTATTTACTACTGACCTTTATGTTCGTCGATTTTCATCTGTGACAAGATGCCGTACTTTGCTTACCACGGCTGGAGTACGACTTGTAGTTCTCTTTCTCGATGGTCCTGGTGCCTCAAGTTCATCCATATTCCTTTGTTTTTAAATACCATTAAGTACAAGGGATATTCTGTCTTGTGAATTCTAAATCCACTATCTAAACACAACATACTAATCGGAGTGATGAACATCTTGCATTGGAAAAAGCTGTTACTTACCCTTCCCAAAAGCAATCAATTTTTTGTGGTATCACACTGCGTATGAAATGCCAAACGATGTCAAAATATAGTTATGATACATTATGTTTTACCATGACCTTATACCAGCAGTGGTTGTCATTTAACTTACTGATTTGCAAATTAAAAATCGCTTTAATTTAATTTCTTCTGTACATGTTACATGTTTGTAAGAAAATCATTGTACATATCATGTATCCTGTACTTGGGTGTTTTGGAACTAGAATACTCCTATACAACTAAGACTAGGGTTAACAAACAGGTTCGAAAGCCGTCAGTGGTCTTCGGTTTCAGTTACTGTTCTATGTAAGAAATACTAGCGAAAAAGTTCTAAAAGGCAACTGAAAAATAGAAACGCTGTTTATACTATAAATTGTTATTCGATTTATTTTTTATATACATTTTCAAAAATTACTTTTGACAGTTAAAAGGGTTTCTTAAATCTTTCCAGTTATTGCTAGTTGTTTTTTCAGACAGCTGAAACTGCTATTAGCTAATAACTAACTTATTTAAAATTATTTTTTGTCACTTTAATAATTATGTGGGTTTTATGATATTTCAATTTCAGAAAGCTTCGCTGCCCCAGGAACAACCTTCATATGCATCTTTTTATGTCTTTCATGATGAGGGCGCTGATGTTCTTGCTGAAAGATGCTCTTTTTGTGGCCGGAATGGGACTTCAAAGTAATGTAGTTTTATCAAAAGATGGCCTCCCTGAATTTCGGGAAACTAGAAACGTACGTACTAATCTGTTTTTCTGTTTTACGTTTATCTTTGTTTCTCAAGTGGTACGTGCAGTGAATTACGTTTTCTAATTTTCTAGCATGTGAACTAGGTTGTCAGCGCCTCACCAACCGATTGCAAACTAGAACAAAGAGTGTATTTTAACTAATAGAGGTTTAACTCCTGAAAATATATTTTAGATCACGATTTTTACCGTGCGTAACCACAAGATTGATAGCATAAACACAAAACGTCAGTATGTTACGTAAATCCTACATGCTTTTGTTATAAAGAGTGAAATTTTCCTTACACTCAAGGCAGCTAAAGATTTTGATATTTCTGTCAAAAGACAATCCTTTATTTAATAAACTTATATCAACCTGTAAGTATACAAGTGTTTGGGGAAATTTCAATACTTTCAAAAACGATAGAGAAATCATTTCATGTATCAGATAAACCTATTTCTTATATCTTGAATGTGAGCCATGACATTAGAAAACCCAGTTATATGTAGGTCTGTTGAACTTGTTAGTATACCATAATTTATTGTCAGGATAAGAATTCTTACAAGCAAATTGGAGTTTCCTGGAAAATAAAGAACCTATAGATAAACTGGAGGATGTTTTAAAACTGCAGATTTCATAAATACAATGTAGTTCCGAAAATGGAGAACATAGAGATAAACTGGAGGATTAGTGCTTAGAACTACAAAGCCTGTACAGGAACTTGAATTTATGGTGGAGTTAAAAAGAAAACAGAGGCATATTTAACGTCGGGGTAATCAGTACAGACGGGCCCCGTAAGAAAATTGCACCAAATAGTTTGAAGTGTTAAAAACGCCCCTGAAATAAAACTGGCATATTTTGTAGAACTTAATAACCTACAGGTATGCTGGAGTAGAAACTAAAAACTTGAGGAAAATCGAGGATACCATGGGTTTCAAAAACTTGTGGACAAATAGGAATATTTATTAAAATCTCTAGGTAGACAGTAAATTTTGCAAGAATTGAAACTTATGGTAGAATTAAAGAACCTGTAAGTAAACTCAAGTTTTTTGTAGGATTGTAATTTCTCAAACTTAATAGAACTGGAAAACTTAGTTCGACCGACGATTTTAACTAATCAGAAATATGTAGGCGAGCAAAATGTTTGATCATCTTGTAGATAGAAAGTAGGATTCGTAGATGTCTTTGGTCGAACAAGTTTTGTTGAAATTTAATCATGTAAAGGCATGTAAAAGTTTATTGAAATAAGAGTTTGCCTTGCTGCGACTGTTTATTAACAGATATCGTGATCTTAAAAAAAATGAAGATTTTATACATTGTCCAGTTAATGGACATTTGAAGATATGTTTCCTCTTATTAAATAATAAACGTCATACTTTGATCGGCTCAGTAGTGTTAGATTAACACAGGTAGGTCGAAAATTGAGAATATCAATCAACCGAAATTTAAGTGTGGACGTTGGCTTGGTACTTTTTTTTTAGTTGTACGAATACCATCGTACTGTTACATTGCAAAAAAAAGAGTTTTTAGGTGTTTTGACTTTTAAAGTTACAAGTAAAGAAAACTAAAGAGTAAAAGTGAGCCGGATAAGTGGATACTTTTAGATCCTATTTTGCAATGAAACATCATACCGTTTTATGTATAAACAAGAACCTGCACCAAGTTTTCATTGGGGCTACTATTGTTTTAATAGATAGATTAAGTTTATTTGTTCTTTGTTGTTAAGCACAAAGTTATAAAATGGGCTATCTATGCTGTGCCCGTCACGGATATCGAAACCATTTTTAGCGTCATAAGCCACCAGACTTACCGCTGAGTCATTGGTTGCGAATAAATTAAGCTAGAGGTAAACATTATAATTAGAAAACCTTTACAAAAGCTTACTAGACTTGATTTTTTTTTTAAATTGTGTTGTTAAGTAATGCTAAAGACAAAATGTTCCCAAGTTCGTTTCTATACTAAGAGAAGACGTATTTAATGCTGTATTCATGTTGTAGCAGTGAGTGTTGTCTTATAAATCTTGAAACTAAATCTTATAAATATCCAAATCATGTTTTAAAGTAATTAAAAAAAGGCTTAGATAGATCGAAATATGTACTATTTATAGCAATTGTCCAAATATATAATTGTCCAACCCATGCTGATGGTAGTCAATCGTTGTAAATTTATTTTTTCAAATTATTAAGTTACTTAATAGTAACTTTAAAAAAAGCAGCATTCGACGTATAATGTTTAAGAGCAACATCAATTTCTGCGTTTTGACTTTCATCCAGCGAATCCTGCACTTTGAAATTATTTACATATTTCTCAACATCGTCAATATCATGAGTTGCATAAATCTCTTTTTGTCTGATCATTAAGCTCTCATTGCTTCTAAGTGGGATTTCGGTTTAAACCTCTTCTTGTCTGGTCACTAAGCATGGTTGCTTCTAACTGGGACATCGGTTTGCACCTTTTCTTGTCTGGTTACTAAGCGTCATTGGTACTAAGTGGAACATCAACTTGTACCTCTTCTTGTCTGGTCACTGAGCACTCATTGCTTCTAATTGAAATATCAACTCGTAACTCTTCTTCTCAGGTCACTAAGAATCATTGCTTCTAACTCGGACATGAACTTGTACATCTTCTTGTCTGGTCACTAAGCGCTCATTGCTTCTAACTGGGGTGTGAACTTTTATCTGATTTTGTCTGATCACTGAGCATTCATTACTTCTAACTGGAATATCAACTTGTACCTCTTCCTGTCTGGTCACTAAGCGCTCATTGCTTCTAACTAGGACATCAACTTCAACCCCTTCTTATCTTGTCACTAAGCGCTCATTGCTTCTAACTGAGACATCAATTTGTACCTCTTCTTATCTAGTCACTATGCATTATTGCTTCTAACTGGAACATCAACTTGTACCTCTTCTTGTTGGTCATTAAGCGCTCATTGCTTCCAACTCGGACATCAACTTGTAGTTCTTTTTGTCTGCTCACTAACACTCATATATAACACTGCCATATTAACTTGAACCTTTTCTCGTCTAATCACTAAGCACTCATTGCTTATAACTGGGACACTAGCTAGTACCTCTTGTCTGGTCACTATGCATCATTGCTTTGAACTGGAACATCAACGTATAGCAACTCTTCTTGTCTGGTCACTAAGCGCTCATTGCTTCGAACTGGAATATCAACTTGTACCTCTTTTTATCTGGTCACTAAGCGCTCATTGCTTTTACTTGGGGCATCAAGTTGTAAAGTTATGAACATTTGTAACATGTAAAGTATTAGTTGCAAAAAAAAGTTTTTAACTTGTTCAAATGCTTCAGAATTTATCGTTGAAATTAACATACTTTTTCCCATGCTATAAATATCCACTATCAGTAGCTTCCTTCTGTTAAAGTTATATTTAACTAACAATAAAATATTTTAGCTCCTGTATTTAGACATTTAAAACGATGATTGAAACTCATAAAAATCTAAATAAATGATTAATTTGCTATCTATCTGTGTGACTTTTGATTTTTTGTCTTTTCTGTAATATACGTAGTTGTCGCTGTTAGGATATAACATTTTATTCACTTATCTTGTGTAAAAAAACTATTTAAACGAAACAGAAGACTTTTATGACTTTTATATATTTGGTATTCCAAGACTAAGTAAGAAGAGTTCTATCAAAGTATCACTTTGATTGTGACGAATAAATAAACAAAATATTTAATCGGAAATATAGATGAACTTTTCTTTTTTGCAGAAGAAAGATATGAAAATAAATGAAGCTTTGTTTTTTAAGCATGAAAGAACATAACAAGAAAACATGCCTGAAGATATATCAGTTTATTTAACGTGGAATTTCCTTATGATCAAAACTTTTTTATTACCTCCTATATCACCAAATAGTCAAACAAAAACAATATTCATTAGTCTAAGAATGTAGAAAAGCTTAAATGCTGAAAACAAAAAGTCGCGAATGTTAGTAACCTGATGAATTTCAAGTTTAAGCAGAACAGCAAGGTCTTATTCGTAAACAAATGCTTTCTTCTACTTCGTGATTAGCACAAGCTATCTATTTTTACGAATGTGGCTCATAAATGTGAGTTCTGTTTCTAACAGAAATCAAATGCTTGCTTCTATTAGGGAGCAATTACAATTATAGCTCCGGCTCATTTCTGAATGATGAACATGTCACGAACCACAGTACGAAGAATAATTTATCACAAAAACCTTCTCTACATAAATGATCTAAATTTTGATATATCAGCTTTATGAAAATAAAATTTGCAATATTTCAATAAAACCCTAAAGGCACACTGCACAAAGCAACTCAGAAATAATTGAAGTTTGTAATATTATACTTGTGACAAGGCAATCCAAATGATACAAAATAATGTTAATAATTTTCTTAATTCAGTGTTATCAAAATCAGTCATGTGACATGAAATGCAAATGATTGGTCATTTAATCTATCATATATATAGTGTTCTCGCATAATATCGTATCATTTGTTACTTTGAATGGATTAATAAGTTTTAAATTGCTCCACATTGCTACATTTGGAGAACCATCAAACAATTATACGTCGACTAATCTCAACGGTCTGTTGCGAATCGACTACAAGTGTCAGAAAGTGTCGTTAACGTAATGTAGAATGAGTTCGAGAAATGTTGCTTTTCCAACCTTAAAATTCATGCCGTTTGAATTGATTTCTATACGTTTGCTGTCACTGAATCCAAAAGGTCGAATTGCAAAACCTCTGAAAGCTTGCTACTGTAATTAATTTATTATATTTAAACCACATATATATATATATATATATATGTGTGTGGTGTGTGTGTGTGTTTTATTATCTAATGTTCCTAATTCCTGTGTTTTCATGGGAACTTAGGCCTGTTATTAAGCTATTCCCGCGTCTTAGAGCGCATGTTTTGAGGTTGTTCCATGTAGAGATTAACGAGTGCTGGTGATAAACATGAGTTTATAGCTAAGTTTTAGTGCTTTTTGTAGTATTTGCCTTGATGCTGGAG